ATGTACTCTTTCTTCTTCTTTGATTGATTGATTGATTGATTGATTTGTTTATAGGCCTTTTGGCTACTCTAACATTCCCAACTCTAAAGAAGTAACCATAAAATCTTTTTAAGTATTAGATAAATCTCCCAAATATTTTAGAGTATGTTGCTAAGAGGCCCAAGGACATTTTGACTTTTAGCCAAGAAACTGGCTACCGTTTTGGGGGTCTTTTTACCCTAACTGCCCAGCCAATTCCTACCTCCTATTCTTATCACACCATCCTCTGAAAGGTTACCCAAAAGCTGAAATGACAGAGGACTAAAGACAAGACAAACACAAATCAGGTGCTTCATGATCCCCAAGCCAGCCTTGCAGAAGGCACTTCCTACTATCTGTTGATGAGGAAGAAAGGCAGTCTCAGCCATCAGGGCCCAGGGAACAACGAATTTCATGAGAGGGATAGGTGAACAAAGCAATCCATTATGCCCAACCCAGTAAACCAGCAAACCCCAGTTCTCCCCTATTGGTACAGGGAAAAAAGTAAAACCAACAAAGTTAGCAAACCCCTCTCAACAAGAGCCTTAAATCTAAATGGCCTCAACTAGCTGGCTATTAAAAAACAAGGTCTAGTCAGACCCCACCCACTGAGTCACCATCATCCTGCTGCGGGGCTAGGCCAGTTCACACTGCCTTAGAGCTCCTGACTGCCTGACACGTGTTCCTCTCAGCAGTCATCAAAGAAACTTCATTTTGCAATGGACTATTACTATTATTAGAACAGACTTCCAAAACTGGTCAAACGCAGAGAAGAAATGTCTGTGAGACCCGGGTTCGAATCCCAGCACCCACATGGCAGCTAACAATTGTCCGTAACTCCAGTCCCAGGGGATCCGACAGCCTCTTCTGACCTCTGCCAGCATTGCATGACACGGGTGCACTTACCTACATGCAGACAATACACACGTACACATAAAATAAAAATAATAAATTTTTTTAATCAAAGGAGCAGGGGGCTGGAGAGATGGCTCAGTAGTTAAGAGCACTGGCTACTCTGGCAAAGGACCCAGATTCAGTTCCCAACATCCACATGGTGGCTAACAATTGTCCATAACCCCATTTCCAGGGGATCCAACCTCCTCTTCTGGCTTCTCAGGCATTGCAAGCATGTGGTGCATTTATATACACACAGGCAAAACACTCATACACATAAAATAAAAACAGAAACAAGTATTTTTTAAATATTTTATTTATTACACGTATGTGAGCACACCCGTGTCGTGCAGTGCTGCGGAGGTCAGAAGAGGGCTTCGGATTACCCTGGAACTGGAGTTAAGGACAGTTTGTAGCTGCCATGTGGGTGCTGGGAATCAAACCCCAGTCCTCTGCAAGAGCAGTCAGTGCTCTTAACCACTGAGCCATCTCTCCAGCCTCCAAAACAATAAATATTTTTAAAATTCAAAGAAGTAGGACTCCAACAGAGGAAATCTCTAGAGGTTATAAGAGTTAAATGCAGGGGAAGAGGACATTGCATGAAAGAGAACAGGAGATGGGTAGAGAGAGAAGCAGGGCTCAAGAGAACAGATCTGAGAGAGGCCACAGACTGACACACGGCGAGGCATCAAGACCAGAGGGACCATTGTGGAAGAGGGGGCAAATACATTGTAAGAGCTGGGGAGGGAGTATATGACTCCACCCTTCTGAATGGTGCCCTCCACATTTGGGGTGGGTCTTCCATTCTCAGTTAAACTTTTCTGGAAATGGCCTCACGACATGGCAAAAAGAGCACTTCCCAGGAGAATCTCAACACAGTCAAGTTGAGAATGAAGATTAATCATCACAGTTCAAAATTCTAAAAGTCCGTGATTATAACATAGATTTCAAAAGAAAATGTTTTCATGACTCTTGGTCTGTTACCCATCGCATACAGTTCGGAGTATCCTAAAATCTCCCATTCAGATCATTTAAAGGTTATGAACCGTGAATAATAGATGGACATTTCCCAGAGTTTCCCCCAGGTTTTCTCCTCCTTCAGCTCCAACCTCCATCACAGAGGACATGAGAGGTCACCAGATGTAGAGACTATGGACCTTGTGGATGGTGAGCAAGCTATGAAATTCTCCTCCCTAGGCTCCACCTCTTCCATGCGCACAGACGCTGGAGCACTTTAATCGCAGCCACAGAGACGGCAAACATGATCAACTGAGGGGGGAGCGCAAAGTAGACAGACATACAGAAAAAGGAAAAGACAGAAAAAGGGAGACTCAGACATGGAAGAGCGAGGAGGCCACAGGGAGGGAGAGAGCAAGGCGGAGCAGATGAAAAGAGAACGGGGCGTGGGGAGAAAGGGACGTCTTCTTTCTGACACTCCCCGTGTCGCCCTGCCTCTGCAGTCTGTTGGTCTCACCCGGCTCCCTCTCTGCGCTCTGCTCCTGTGGACCCCACTCGCCGCCTGCCTTTATTGCTCAGTTTCTCTGGCTCGTGCTTTAGGTCTGCCACAAACTCTTCATTCCTGTCATGCTCCGTCGATATTTTCCTTGCTTTCTCAATTTCTATCACGCGCTTCTCTGACTTTCTAGAAGAGCAATTTGCCTGTGCTGGTCAAGGGATATGCAGGGGGGTTCACAAAACACCCCCTGTCCCTTCTCACTTGTCATAAAGGAAATCTTTGGAAACTAGAGACCAAAGATTGTAAAAGCCAGAATGGGGATTAGACAAGCTACCCTCCATCTCTCTTAGTCTATAGATTAGTATTCTGATAACAATAAACCAATAATCACATGTCGCGAGTCCATGTGTGCAACAGCTGTAGTTACCTGCCCGAGATCTGCGCATCAAGTCAGTTAAAACTTCTATCGTGGATGAAGGAGCGGCTCCTGAGGCCCTGGTCCTAGGTGAGGAGCTATTGACAGTTGAAGGCTGCTGGGGGAGGGAAAGTCACCTTCTTTGGGGATGGCTATTAGTACATCGTTCATGCCTCAGTGGACGGCCCCAGACCCATGTGCATTGAGCAGCACTAATAGGACTCAGTGGATTATTTTTTTAAAAGAACACCCAAAGTTGTGAGGGTGATGTGTTGAGAAGTGAGAGGAGTTGGAGGCAGAGTGAGGAGGAGATATGATCAAGATATATTGTGTACATGTCTGAAATTCTGAAAGAATAGTTTTTTCAAAGAAATCCAATACATAATTATGGAGCACAGCAGCACCATGCATGTAGCTCAGTGTTTGCCTAGCATGTGCACACCCTTAGGTTCTAATTCCAGCATCACAAGAAGACAAAGGGAAAAATACTCTGGTATGGAACACTCACTGATATAATCATCAGATTAACTGATGCATCCTCTTCACTAAACAGCCCAAACCTAGGAGTTCTCACTGAGAAGATATGCCTTAGAAAGTGAAGTCAGCTTTTAAAGGTCATAGAAGAAAGGCAAAAGATTAGTTTGAATCATAATCCTAACATTCACCTTGCTCTTATACCCATCCAAAGCAAGATGCACCCATTCAGAATGGGAAACTGAGGTCCCAAAAGGACATCAATTTACCTTAGTTCCCCACAAGCTTGATCTAGAACATATCCCCAGACACTGCTTGCTGAGGTGCATTTCATCTTTCACTCTGTGTTCCAGGGATATCAACAAGGTCAAACACATTCTCTCTCTCTCTCTCTCTCTCTCTCTCTCTCTCTCTCTCTCATATAAACCTCACAATACCTCCATGGGCATTTTATGAAATATTGTCTGAACACTCAGGGCCCTTGATGGTGTAACCTTCTTCCTTGATAAACGCGATAGCTTCTCTCCTTCCTATTCAAAACAGAATTGGAAATAGCAAAAGGCCAGGCCAAGCATAGGGACTGACAGGTACAGCCAAGCACTTGGTATTAGGCCGGTTGCTACCTACCAACCCAATGCTGACTCCCCTCCCCACATCTTCCTTCTCCAAAATCAACAAACAACTTTTATATCACTTTTTTGTTCCCTGAACTTTGGTCCCTAGTCCCCAATTTCAGAGTCCAGCAGCCTAGAATACTTTGAGCAAGTCCTGGGAGGGTCAATTTTGCCCACATAAACTGGTCCAGAGGGTCTAAGGCTAGTGCATCCCTGAATGGTCCAGCTATCAAACCCTTCACAGTACCCTCCTAGGAGCCCTGCCAGGCCAAGCTGAGGTCAGTCTCAGCACCCACCTAATGCTCATATACCAACCTGCTGGGACCAACCTCAGACCCTATAGGGTACCATCCTCATACCTTTCTGAAAGCCATCTTGGTGACCACCTGGGCACAACCTCAGATCTCCTTTGGCACCAGAATTTGGAAAAAGAATTTTTATTCAATCAGTGCCAACTTCTTTCTTACCAAAATGCCTACCTGGAGGAAATTTCAATATCAACCTATGTCCCTCCTTTCCTTTGGGCTTTTTAATCCCTTTAATTATCAGATCCAGGAAGGAAGGCATTACAGTACCTGACCTCAGTGTACTTGCCCAGTTCAGGGAAACTGTCTGATATCAAGATCTACCTGACATCTCAACTGCCAGTGTCGTCTCTGTGCCCACTGCTGTTGCTGTTTTGCCTGTTCTACCCTTGGACCTCATGTAGCCCCAAGGGAAGGCTGGGCCAGGCAATGGACAGAGAAAGAAATAGAGTCAAATCCCAGCCTTCCCTCATACATCTTAGTGACTCCAGTGATGTTAATAATGAAACAGCCCAATTGCCACTAAGAATCAAAAGATGAAGCACACACCAACTTAATCTTCCTGGAGTATAACAAGTTCAGGAAAGCATAGCTCCAAATCTAGCTTGGTGGTCAGAGTCTCTCTTTTTTTCCAATTTCTTGGTGTTGCAACCCAGTGGGAGTAAATATTAGGTGCTGAGGCTGTGAGGTAAAAGACACAATATGATAAAGAAGAGCAAAGGTCATCCTTCTACCTGGGAGTATAAACTCAAACCACCTCAGCCATTACTAGACTGTCACCTTCACTGCTACCATGCTGGACTTAGGGCTCCTTCACTGCTACCATGCTGGACTCAGGGGAGAAGTTACCTCCAGGACCCACCCCATTGCCTGTCATTGGGAATTACCTGCAGCTGAATACAAAAGACACCAGACTGGGAGACGGGCAGGATGTGGGAATATGGGAATCTGCTCCATTTTCCAAGGACCCTGGGATGGAAGATTCATAGAATGAGCCTTAGCCTTAGGAGAGTGGAATTCGAAGGCTTGTAGCCATTTCCAAGCCAGATCTTTGTGGAGTATTGTTGTTGTTTTCACGTGTTTAGCATCAAATCTAGGGGGAGGCATTGCAATATCTGACTTCTGTGTACTGGTCTAGTTCAGCGAATAATCCCTCTAACAATTCCCATCTACCCTCCATCAGCTAAGTGAGCGCTATGGCTCGGTGTTCACCATCCACCTGGGGCTCTGCCGGGTTGTGGTGCTGTATGGCTATGATGCCGTGAAGGGGGCTTTGGTGGACCAGGCTGAGGAATTCAGTGACCGAGGAGAACAGAGCACCTGTCATACACTCGTCAAAGGCTATGGTGAGGGGCTATCACATGGGGGAATGTGGACGGCTATACTTGATGGCCTTGTTTAACCAGCTTCCCTTGCAACCCGTCTTCCTTGAAGGTTGTGCAGAGCAGCCTGGTCTTCTCTCCCTGTCCTTGTCTTTGATGCCTCCCCCTGTGTCAGTCTCTGGCCTCTCTCAGATCTTCTGTTCCCATTGTGCTCTGCTTCTCTCTGTGTCTCCCTTTCCTCTTTCGTTCAATGTCATCGTCCCCTGCATCTATCTCTTAAAACCTTTTGAGATCTCCTTTGTTGGGTTCTTACTTCTTTAATTTTTCAAATTTTTATTTACATTTTGTCTTTATTTTATGTGTATGTTTTGCCTGTGTGTATGTAAGTGCCCCACATGCTTGCAATGCCCATGAAGCCAGAGGAGGGTGTCAGATCCCCCTGGAAATGGGGTTATGGACAGTTGTTAGCTGCCATGTGTGTGCTAGGAACCGAATCTGGGTCCTCTGCAAGAGCAGCTAGTGCTCTTAGCCGCTGGGCTACCTCTTCAGCCCCCTGCTCCTTTGATTTTTAGCTGATATTTTTATCTTTGGATAGTCTGCTTCTTTTTTAAAAATATTTTATTTATTTTTATAATTATTTTTATTTATAACCAGGGGTTTGGTTTTGTTTTTAATATTTTATTTACTATTTTTATTTTATGTGTATGAGTGCATTGTCTGCATATACATACGTGCGCCCG